CCGTTGCTAGCATGGCGAAGGCCGTGTTTACTTCTTTTTTTTTTTTTTTTTTTACATAAAAAAATAAAAGCCCTATTTTTTACCAGGTGATCTCGCTCGTCTGGCTGCTGTAAAGAGGTTCACGGGGAGGGGAGGCAGCCGCAGGGCCACCCTCCTGAAGAAGCTGCTGGTGCAGGTGGTCGCGCCGACGTGGGCCGTTACTGCAGGGTCCGATGCTGGTCAGGACTTCCCCGGTGCTGGGGGGGCACCCTCCATGTGGATGGGTGCCTGGAATTTGGGTGTTTGCTTTCCTCTTTTTGCCTGTGCTGGAGGGGTCTGACAGTGCCTGGGGGGACCGTTTGGTGCCTGTGTTAGGGTCGGGGAGGTGTGAACGGGCTTCCCTGTGAGCAAGTGCTTGGCCCAAGTATGACACCAGTCATGGCCATGTTTCAGCACACGTTTATTGCTGCTCGTTTCCCTGCAGTGGATCAGAACGAAGGTCCCTATTGCACAACAACAGATTTTTATTTTTGGCATCTTTAAAAAAAAAAAAACCAAAACACCCAAAAGAAATGCACAAGACTTCCTAACCCCCTTCCCCCAGCTGACCGCTGAACACACGAACGAGCTCGCTCACCTAAGCCGTGGCTGCGGCTTGCCCAGGAGCCGGGGCGACGTGGTGGTGGACTCGTGCATCGGCACACTCCCGCAGGAGGAATCCCTTCTCGGGGGGGGTGGCTTTTTATGGTTGGGGGGGGTGGCTTTTTATGGTTGTGTACAGCCTGCGAGACCCCTCGGCCTCTGGGAAGCGTGCCTGGATGGAGCGGAGACGCTTTACTGCATGCAACAGATGGTTGTGGCTGGATCTTGGTGCCCCACGGGGGGTTTTTGGTCGGTTGGGGCTTCCTCGGGTGCTGCGAGGTTCTCCAGCCAGGCGGTAACAATCGGAGCTGCGCGGTGAGCGTTTAAATACAGCGGGTTTTTCACAACTACAGCTGCACAGGGTGAATGGGAAAACTCCAACCTCGGAACGCGGGGTGTAGACCTGCCTGGGGGGTGGTGTGCTCTGTGCCACCTCTGCCAAATCCACCCTCCTTTTTGTGCTTTTCCACGTTTGTGAGAGGAAACCCCTTGGATGCCGGAGCTCTGGTGTGGTCTGTGAAGCTGGGGGTTCCTTGAGGCCTTGCGGACACCAGCCAGGCTTCCGAGGCGTTCGTGGTGGTGCGCGTGCTCCCAGGATGGCGGGGGGCATCTGCCCTGCCGCTTCCGTTGGGAAGGGCGCGGAGAAGGGAGGTTGGGTGCTACAGCAGGACTCCGCTTTCCCTTGCCCGGTGAGGCGAGGAGCTGTGCTCTGAGCTAGCTGCCGGCCCTGGGCTCTGCTCTGGCCACTAACTTGGCGCTGCGGTGCTCTGGGAGGTGCCGTCCCTGGGCATGGCCCCTGTCCCGCGTTCCTCTGGGAGAAGAGAGCCGGAGAGCCTGTGTGTGTGTCAGCCAGCTGAGACGGCGGCTGGGGAGGAAGGGAGTTGTGCTGGGCTGTATGTGGACTGGGGGGAAAGCTGAGGAGGTTTCTCCCCATGGCTGCAGGATGGCTGATGGAAGTGGCTGGGTTTGCTGCCCTCAGTACACCCAGGAGACGGGCACCCACTGCGGGGAGCTGCAGGCCCGCTCGAAGGCTTCCTGCAGCAGCTGGAGGCTCTCTTCCACCCCGTTGTTGACCAGGGAGAGGTCGAAGTAGTGTGCGTATCGGCTCCGGATGCTCTCCGAATCCTTCCGGAGCTGCTGCAATGCCTCTGACTGCAAGAAACGGGAGAGAGTGCTGAGGAGGGGGATTTCACAGCCCACCCCAACGAGCAAACTCCCACCACCAAATCAAATGGGAGTAGTTGCCAAGTATCAGCGCACAGAGCATCCCTGCAGCTCGTCTGACGAGCTCGGGGCGGTGTGATCTGCGCGGCGTGTGTCTGGGGCTTTGCTGGGCTTCCACGCGACGCTGGGCGCACGTTACCTACGGGGTCCAGACCCGCCTGGTCTCGTGTTTATCTTCCAACTGCTTCACGTAGGCTTCCTGGGAGGAGAAGGCTCACCAGGCAGCAGGCTGCTGTTACTAGGCTCTGCCCCGTAGCCAGCTCAAGGCCTGAGGCTGGTTTCAAGACCTGAGGCTGGTTTCAGGGCATGATCCCCACAGGATAGTCCATCCCCCCCAGGTTTGTCACCACAACAGGGGCTGGCTGAGCAGTTCAGCCTCGCTCTGCTGGTTTGGGCTGGGGTAGTTCTATTTCATAGTAAAAGCAAAGCTGCCTGCCCCCCCCTTGCTGCCCGTGTGTCTAGTCTGCACGGCTCCCCAGCTATCAGGGGCACCCCAGGCGCGTGTGCCCCCGCGGGCAGCTATGCCCTCAGCAGCAAAGCCCAGCCCGACTGCCACGTATCTCCTGAACGGAGCGCGAAACGCAGGCAGCTCCCAGCTTCTGTGCCCGGTGGGAGGGTGAGCTGGGGGCGTTGTGCTTGCTGCGGCTCAGCTGCCGGTGGCCTGGCAGCTCTCGGGGTGGCGATGGGAGAGCAATAGCAGTTGGCCAGGTCGCGTGAGCTCCGCTGGGTCCCTTCCAGCAAACAGTTACCTGAGCTGTGACAGCTCACTGTATAGAGTGCCTGTGCCAGCAGGGCTGGCCCTGCCCACTGCAGCAGGAGTGAACTCCCCTGTCCGGAGGCAGCAGCAGGTGACCAAACTGCCCTTTCTGCCCTCACACTTGTCTCCCTTTCCCCCTCCCAACCTGCTGCATCTGGCTTCACTATCCTCTGCAGGTTAACGTGCCTCTAACCGCCTGCGCAGTGCCTGATGCGCAGCATCCCCTCCCTGCAAGCTGTGTCCTACGCTTCACAAAGCCCAAATTAATAGGTTGGGAGAGGTGGCCTTGGATGGCCATGAGCTCTGTGGGTTTCTCTGTTCTCCCACTGCTTCCCATTTCCTTGCAGAGGTTTGCCCTTGGGGAAACTGGGCAGTGCATGCAGCACTGCTCCCCACCTTGGGGTCTTCCCGGGAAATGGCAGCATGTGGCTGGCAGCCCTGGGGGTGCTTGGCGCTGCGTGAGTTAACGGCGGCAGGAGTGCCGCTTTCATCCTCATTTGGGAGGGATGAGCATCTTAATGAGGCAGGGAATGAAAGGAGCTGCTGTTTGCATGTGCCATTTGCATAGCGGATGGCGGGATAAGTGCTCCCGCTCTGCAGCTGGAGATACCCTGAGTGCTGGGCTGTGCACCCCACTACATGTCAGCAGTGGTTATGGTGCTGGGGATGCCAGCCTGGGGGAAAATCTACAGAAATCACTAATTCCTGTTTCTCAGGGCTGGGCTCGGCTGGCCCACAAGAATCCATGCAGCCAGGAAGGAGCTGATGTGGAGCGGGGAGGGAGCCCTGGGCTGCTGCAGCGGGCTCCTTGCTCCGCCGGCAAGCCTGTCCGTGGTGGGGACGCGGCCTCGGCACCCTGCCACCCACCTGCTCTGCCTTGTCTGTCGGGGCGATGAAGACTATGAACGGGGAGAGTTCGGCCGTGCGGATGATCTTCAGGGTCTGCGGAGAGAGGGTGCAGTTACCAGAGCGTGGCCATTCCTCGGCGCAGAGCCAGCGCGGGCAGCTGGCTGCCGACTCCTCCTGCCTCGCGCTGCCCCTGGCCAGGGTGTCATCTGGGGCCATGGGTGTTCTGGGTGGGCTCCTGAGCTGGGGGGTGGTTGGGTGATGTGGGGGCAGCGGGTGAAGCTGGAGCTGGGGTCTCAGCGTGGCTTCCCCTGCGCCTCGGGCGGGAGGACGTAAAGGCAGCCCCGCTCTGGGCTGGCTGCTGGACACAACCGCCACGTGGCACCACACGTTTGGTGTCAGAGAGGGGAACTGGTCCCCGTGCCAGGCCCATGCCGGCCCTGCACCCCACTGTCACAGCCAGGTGCGTGCCATGACAGAAACACCCTCACTGCACCCGTGTGTTGGGAATGGAATTACCACCACTCCCTGGCTTTTTCCTTTGGGAAGGGTGAGTGGGCTTCCCCACCAGGGAAGGTAGGAAGAGTCATAGCCAGCCCATCCTGCCCTCCCCTTCCCCTGCTCCCTACCTGGGGCTCAACGTCCAAAATAGCGACTTTGTCTTGCTGGTGGATCTTGTGCACGGTTTCAAACTTGGTGCCAAACATGTTTCCCTGGTAGCTTCCAAACTCCAGGAACTCATTGGCCGAGATGTCTCGGGTCATCTCCTCGGTGGAGACAAAGTAGTAGTCCTTCCCGTCCACCTCATTCTTCTTCTGGGGGCGTGTGGTGTCTGGGGAGGGAGGGAGATGGTGAGTGCTGGTCCCCAGAATGCCTGGGGAAGAAGGGCCTCCGCTCTGGATGACCTGGGCATCTGGCCTTCCAAGCACAGAGCTAGGGCATGGAGGACCTGTGTTCCCCCAGACTAGGCTGTAGTAATCCCCTTTCAGCTCCGTCCTGCTCGGGACAGGAAGGGAACTCGGCCAGCCTGAGCAGAGCCACTGGGATATGCAGAGTGAGGGGTCGGTGAGGTGGGCGGCAGCAGCCCCGCAGCCAGCTGTGGGTAGGTGGGACAGCAGGCAGGGAGGGTCCTACCATGGGGGCTCGGTGGGTTGGAGGAACGTCTCCACACCTCCCGTCTGCTGTCAGGTCCTGGCTCAGGGAGGCGAAGGAAACGTGCCCTGTGCTGTGCCTTCCACCCTGGGGGGGTACTTACATGGGGGTGGGTACATGAACTTCTCCGGGTTGTTGCTGAGCAAAGCGTTCTTGATGTGGCTACGGCCCACGCCGCTGGCCCCTGCAGAGAAGGAGGGATGGACTTGGAGCTGGGCTCAGAGAAGCCTGGCAGGAGATGCTGGGGTTCCTCTGCAGCTCTGGGTCTGGGGAAAGGTTCAGAGCACCGGGGGCCTTGCCCTGGACCTCCTTTCTGGGCTGCTCTGTGGCATCTTCCAGCCCTGGAAGAGGTTTTCCCTGCCCTGGGCATGCTCAGCCCCAGCCAGAGATGGGACTGGTGCCCACTGAGCAGCCAGCACGGCTGGGCTGTCCATGCCCACAGGGTCTACCTGCAAGTGCTCAGCACCCACAGCATGGGAGCACCTGCTTTGGTGCAGCTCCAGAGGCCAGAGCTGCTTTTCATAAAAATTATCCATATGGCTACTTAGGAGCTGGAAACTCCTGATTTAACTCTCCTTCCGCATCACAGTGCAGGTGCCAGACCATGCACAGTGCTGCAAGGAGGAGCTCAGCCTGCTTGGTGACCGCTGCAGGCGAGAAGAAACGCTCCCCAGGGATTACTGCATTCTGAAGGGCAGCGCTGCCCCAGCCCCATCCAGCCCTGGCTTCCCCGAGCCCCGCCGCACGCAGTCCCTGTGCTGCGGAGGATGCCTGGGGCAGGACCTACCGATGAGCACCAGAGTCTTCCTCTTGAAGGCAGGCAGCCTCACCACCTCCTCGTAGGAAACCACATCCAGCTGGTCAAAAACTGGGGTGGAGGAGAAAAAAAGACAGTGAGTGGTCAAAGCTGTCTCAGCTTCGGCAGCAGGACCGCGTGTGCTTCGGGCCAAAGCCAGGTCCTCGGGCAAAACACAGAGAATGATCCAGACTGCGCTGGGAACTCATCCCTGTGGCTGCTCGGGGAAAAGGGCAGCGGCACGTGGGGTGTGGATGGGGTGCTGGGGAGCTGGACCAGCAGCGGCCTCCGAAGAAGATGGCAGGGCTGCTCTCACTCAGTGATTCCACTCGGGACAGTAGGATGTAGGAGCTGGGTGGGGAGGCAGCAGGACGCTGCCGGGAGCTTCTTGCTGGGGCAGCTGTTTATCTCACTGATTTACGGCCTTGTTTGTCGCTGGTTGGAGCTGCAGGCCGGGCTAGGAGCCAGCATGTCCTCCGGCATCTGCCCTTGCCGGCCCAGGGCATACTCAGCACAGGGCCCAGGCATGGGTGGCTGAGGGGCAGGCTCCCTGCCCCACCAGGGACACGGCAGCTGGGGGATGGGGGGCAGTTCGGGCTGCTCCCTAATTGCTGAGCAGCAGAAAGGCCACTATGGGGTTTGAGGGCCCGGGAGCCCAACCTCCCAAGGAGCTTGGGGACAGGAGTGCCCAGGGATTGTCACCGCAGGGCAGCTTGGTGCCTGGCTCCTGTGTGAGCCAGCCCCAGCCTTGGGGGGACACAGCTGTGGCCCTGAGGGATGTGAGCACTTCAGAGAAGGGACTCAAGCTGACAGCGGTGGGGTACCCTTCCGAGTTCCCACTGCCAACACAGCCAGGCTGTTTGGTCTGACTCCGTGGAAAACAGAGCCACCCCTGCTCGGAGTCCGGAGTGACGGTCCGGGCTGGGGATGGAGTCGTCGCCCTGCTCACACTTACTTGAGCTGTGCTTGGCCAGATATTTATCTTTGCATTTCTTCTTCTTTCCAAAGGGGCTACAGCTTGGGGATTCGCTCTGACTGGACTGGGTGACGCTCGCCACACGCCTGTCGAGAGAGGAGGGCACCACAGTGATCAGCTGTCACCCCAAGCACTGGGGAGCAGTGGGATTGTCCCTCAGACATGCAAGAGCAGCAGGGTGGCTGCTGGGACAGGTAAAGGTTGGCCCTGCAGTAGATGAGGGGACATTTGCCTCCTTTTCCCAGCAGCAACGCTGGTGTTACCCAACACGGTCACACTCCTGGTAGCACACGGTCACTGTTGCCACCTCCACTCCCAAATCCAGCCCTTCTAGCCAAATCCAGGGACCTACCACTCCTGCAGCTCTGGAGAAGGGATGAGTCCTGCTGATTCGGTGGAGGAACCCTCCACCCGGCCCTGCCACCAGTTGCTGTCGTCCTTGTTTATGATTTGAATCACATCGCCGGTCTGAAACTTCAGCCCTGCTTCCTTGCAGGGGATCAGGTTGTCTTTTTTGGGGTCGTAGTCAAACTGTGCCCTCATGAACATCTGGAAAAGAGAGAGTGGGCTGGAGTTAGCATGGTCATGCAGGGTGGCTGAACTTGGTCCTGTGCAGCTCCCAGCCCCACGCTGCATGCCCTGGTAGTGACTGCGGAGCCGTCTCCAGGCACAAGATCCCTGCTCTGGGAAGGATCTCAGCCCCTGCTTCCTTCCAGGCCCTGTAAGACTGGGCAGGGAGAAAGGCAGTGCACAAAGGCTGGGGGAAGCTCCTGGGCATGGGGCTGTGGTGAGGTGTGCTGGTGGGTGTGGGAGGGAGGAGGAGGATGGCATCTTGGCCCTCCTGGGAGCCACCCTAGGCTGGCCTGCGTGTCCCACAGCTGGTGCTCCAGCCCTGACTTGTAGCCCCCGTCAATCCCAGCCCTGACTTGTAGTCCCCCTGCATCCCCCCTGGCTGTGCACAGTGCCGGTGAGCTGAGCCAGCTGGAGATGAGTCCCACCACCCAGACCAACATGCTGCACAGCAACCGGGGTCTGCAGCGGGGTGAGCAGAGAGGAGCTGTTGTGACGGTGCGCCTTGCAATCCCACGTCCTGTGGACCCCAGGGACGGCCACGTCTCGATCCTTCGCTGCTGTGCCCCAGCGCTAGGCACTCCCCTGCATGGCACGGAGCATTGGGGGGAGCCAAGGCTGTGGTGTCGTGTCCGTCCCTGCCTGGGTCTGTCCTGGCCTCTTCAGCACCAACTACTCTTGCAACATTACGTTCACCACAGCTGCAACTGGAAATGAGCTGCTACTTCTTCCCAGGCCATTGTGCCACCCTCCTGGGGCTGAGGAAGCCCTGGGGACCAGGAAGGCGTGAGAAAGTGGCCTTTTCCCTGTCCCTTCTGCTCACTCAGCTCTTTGGGAGGGAGTCTATAGCGCCTGCTCCCCACTGGGCCAGCCACCCCGCTGCCTCCCCTGGCCTCAAGCCCTCCAGGTCAGCAGGCAGTCGGGCACCCCTGGGCTCTCACTGCCCCCAAGCATCTCTGCAAGATCAGGAGAGAAACGGCACGTGGCTTTCACATACGGACCGACCTTGTCTTCCAGAAAAACTGTTCAGGAAGAATAGACCATCAGAGAGCAACAGGATGGCTCGAGTCACCTATTGCTAGGAGGAGGGTAGACCGTGTATGTGCACCCAGTGATTTCTGCACTGCTCTTGGTGCCTGGATGAATGGTTTTTCATCAAAAATGCTGCAGCACCTTCAGTTTGTCTCTGGCCAGCGCGGCCAGCAAGATCGGGACTAGGTCAGGACGAGGGTGGGGGCAAAGCCAAGGCAGGGTATGGACAATGGGGAGTGAAAGGCAGGGTTTAGGGATCACAGTAAGCCTGTGGCTAAGCACAGACCTCACCCAGCCCTTGGTCCCCTCCTGGGGTTTTTCTCCTATGGGCCTGAGACTGCTGGGAGCCCCCAGCCATAGTGTGAAGTCCTGCAGGCTGCCCCACAACTCGTGTGCTTGAGACTTCTCCCAGGAGGGTGCTGGGCCCCGAGCCGGCGGCCTGTCTGGGGCTGGGGATCCTTCCACAGGGGAAGCAGCACCATCAGACCCAGCCTCGTGCCAACGCGTCTCCCCTGAGCAGAACCCGATCAAGTTACTTATCCCAGAAACGCCGCAGGCAGCAAGCGGGCAAAGGGACTGACGCAGGGTGACACCTATGTCCTGTCCTCAGGTGTCACAGGCAGGGCCCGGGAAGGCATCGTCCCAGGGTAGGGTACAACGTGCTGCCCTCACTCGGCATCAAAACAATTCCCCACAGTATGTCCCGCTCCAGCAGTGCTGCTGGAGGCACAGGGCCAACAGGATGCCCACACGTTCCCTTTCACAGCCAGGACAGCAGAGCATACGGACCACGCTGCGAGACGAGCTCGCTCACAGCGGAAGACAACAAAAGTGGAATCTCCTTTCAGGATGAGGGCTGATGCTCTGAAAGCACTCTCTGGCACCGGGAAGCTGGTCATCACCACAGACACACAAAGGGACAGACAGCAAGCACTGCCCAAGCACCTGCCTAGAGCCCTCTACTCCCGCAGCCCGGGTACCCCAAGCCAGGTAGCTTTGGGGAAGACCCTCCCTTACACCGAGGAGGGCTTTCACCCATGGCCTGCGAAGGGCCAGCTCCAAACACAAGCTATTTGCCCGCCTGGCGCCAGGCCTCTCTCAGGGTCTGGAAGCCCAGGTACCAAGCAGCCCTGGTCTGTAAAGGCAAAAGGCTGTAGTTTGTGCCTGGCAACAGGTTGGAGGTGACCTCGAGAGCCCCAAGTGCTCAGTGCTGTGACTTAGGATCGTCCCAAGCAGACCTGCCCCAAGAGACACGCGGCCTGCCGGGCTGCCAGGCCGTGGGGCAAGCCAGGGCCAGGGAGACACCATGAGGCCAGGATCTGCCCTGTCCTGCCTGCCAGGCCCTGAAATGAGGGTGATCATGGGGATCCAGGGATGAAACCAGAAGTCCACTCCTGTCAGTGGACTGCAACAAAGAGAGACGTGGTCAGCCTGGGAGCTGCGGTTCCAGGGAGCAGACAGCACCACAGCCCTGGACACAGCAAGAGGGAAAACAACTGTGCCGGGAAGGAGTTTGTTCCTGTGTCCTTCCCTGAGCCCAAGGCTTGGTTGAGCCAGCAACTGTGTTCTTTTCCTCCAAGGAACTTTTCCGCAGGCACCGAGCTGGCGTGGCCAAATGGACTGTCTGGGTCAGGCCAGGGGGGGCAGACGGACAGCGGGGAAGGGTGGACATCGGCCAGGGTTTCATAAACACATGCAGGGCTGGTTGGAATGGGGTTGAGCAAGAAACAGAGACACTTTTCACCTGCTACCATGTTCAGAGACTTCAGCTTCTCTGGGGAAGGAAGGAGGGTGACATGTGCTTCCCCAGCCCATCCCAGCACTGTCCAGCCCCAGAGCTCCTCTCCTACAACCTGGGGGCCTGCACTGGGGTTGGCTCCTGCGCCCGGAGACAGGACAGCATCCCAGCCACCACGCACTGAAGCCTTGGCAGAGGAGCCAGCCCTCCCCACCATCCTGAGCATTTTGGCCGTGGCAAGACTCCAAAGCCAAGCCAGGCATGTGTCGTCCCCCGCCACAGCGCGTCACCCCCAGCCGAGCAGAGCCAGCAGGCGCAACGAGCCGTCTTCCTCTCCCCCAGCGCTTCCTTCCTCCCACTCACTGCGCACAGGCGTGCTGCTGGCACCCAGACCTACGTCACCCTCCTCGCGGCTGACACACCGGGCACCAGTGCTGGCAAGGAGCAGCGAGAGCACCCGGGGGTGCTGCTGTGACCCTGTGATGGGGATGTGGCTCTAATGGCTACAGCTCGAAGGGGGCGGGAGTCTCTGACGCTTCCTGGAGTGCACGCGCTGCTGCCTTCCCCTCACCACGCACTGCGCACACGTGCCGCTGCGGCTCAGGTCTCCCAGGCCCACGTTCCTACACACGCACTGAGGAAATACACCATGCAGGGCCAAAATCTGCTTGTTTGCAGCAATGACAGCATAAGACAGGTCCCTTTGCAGGCAAGGTGGCCGGGCAGCCATCCCCACGTCCTTCCCCTGCCTCAGCCCAGCTCTCCCCAGCCCTGGACCCACCCAGCCCCACAGCCATGTCCCAGCACAGCCCGCAGCTCTGGAGGCTGCACTTACCTGGAGAGCAGGGAGGCGGCTTTGTTGGTTGGGAATTACTTTTATTGACACCATCCCCTTGGTTTCTTTCTAGTGAACAAAGGAAGGGGAGAAAGAAGAGTTGGAGGAGGTGGTGCCTGGAGGCAGCCTGACAGCAGCAGCCTGCGCAGAGCTGCTGAGTGCCAGGACCCGCACAGACGTGGCTCCTGCGTGCTCCCAGCCATGCTGAGATGCTGAGGGACACCACAGCCTGGCCAGAAACAGCTCTGCTGGGGCTGGGCAAAGAGCCGTGGCAGCATAGCTTTGCCACGCTTGTCCCATCGCCACGGTGGGGGACACCGATACCCCCAGGAAGGGGCTGGCTGTAGGCACTGCTAAGCATCACCAGAACGACCATGGCGATCTGTATCATCTCCGGCCTAGCTGTCCCAGTGAGGAGCCTGGGTGGGAGGCTGGTTCTGCCAGGTCCTCTCCATCTGTCCCCTCCATGCTGGTCTCTCACTCCTGCCCTCCTGGTGACATCAGAGGCACAGCACCCCCTTGCCTGCCAGGGGACAGATGTACTGTTGCCTCATATGCCTCACATAACCTACGTGGTCCCGTGGGGACAACCACATTTGGAGGGGCCTCCTAGGCCAACCGCCCTCCTTAGGGTGCAGACAAACACAAGCTCCTCCTTGGTCCCGCTGTCTGGAGCGGGGACATCCCGCCACCAGGCTGGAGAGGACCCTGGCACTGCAGCAGGGCCAAGCCCCTCCTTAGTGGGGGTGTCCTCAGCACCACCACCACCTCCCTCTGACCAGGGCATGAACTGGGATGGCCAGCGGTCCCGGCTCCTGCCACGTCACACTGCTGGAGACAGCTGTGGTACCTAGGAGGGGGCAACTGCTCAGGCAGCACACACTTCCGCAGGCCAAAGGGGTCCTTCCTGGGGAACAGCCCACACCAAACACGAATACCTACCAGCATCTTCTGCAGCTGGTCAACCGAGTGGTTGCTCACACTCTGCCCATTGATCTCTACAATTTCATCACCCACGTGAAGGGAGCCTGCCAGCAATGGGAAAAATGTGAAAATGCAGGACCAGGCAAAAGCGACTCACCAAACCCAAACTATGCAGCTCCGCCAGCCTTCTGACCCCCTTGGACAAGCTGTGGCCAGGACACGGTGTTTGCCTGGGCAATGCTTGTGGAGCCACAGGTGTCACCTAAGCACATGGAGCTAAAGCACAAGGGGAATGAATTCTTCCCCCTCCACCCAATACACACACTTCATCCAGCCTGAAAGTCATCAGGTTGCTTTCCACTGTGCGTCCTTCCGCACGCAGCGCCTATTGCAGAGTTACTCCACCACCAAGTACCTCACCTGAAGCCAAATGACAGCCTCTTTACAGGGCCCTTAATTCTTGACTTCATGTGTTTTCAGTTTATACACCCAGCCAGATTACAGCCTCAGATATACTGCTATAAATTGGGCTCCAGAAGTGTTATTGGAATGGCTCCTGGGTTATTTTGGCAGGGTTAAGCTCGGACTTCCCACTAACATCCAAGCCTGGAAAAGGGAACGCCTCTTCTAAGCACAGAACATGTAATTTCCATGCCCCCTTGGCAAGAACCAAAACCAGAAAATAGGACCTATTTATTTCTTCTGGCATTTCCTTGTGATCTGCAGAGCCAATCCACACCGAGCCTGTCCCACCTGCACTCTTTAGGAATGGGAAGAGCTTCCCCTGCAGTCTCTGGGGTATGATCCATCTCTCATTACAGTGACCCCATCACGAGACAGAGACAGACAGTCTCCAGTTCCTTTTTGGGAGAGCCCTTCCCCCAACCCTTCAATTCACCCTAAAGCCTCCTGTGTATTAACACGATAACCATGCAGAGAGACCAGCGAGTCCTGAGTTCCGGACATATTCCTCGTGGAGGAACAGACACAGATGTCCATGTCACCGGCAAAAGCCAGCAGTGCTGGGGGGGCTGCCTTATCTCTGCACAGAAAGAAACCAGCAGCGATGTGTCCCCCACACACTGCCTCTACGAGGGCCTCGTTACCTTGTCTGTGAATCATGCCCCCGTGGAAGATCCTGGCCACCATGCAGCTCTGCTTGTCGTTGAGCTTCAGTGTTATTCCCTGGAAGACAGGAAAATCCATGACTGCTCTCTGAAGGGAGGAGTTCCTGCTCTTTCAGCAAAGTCCTCTCCAGGCCCATGCCCAGGGTGGGCTGCACAGTGGCTGGGGGGGAAGCCCCCCACTTGGCCAGTCCAGCCTGGTGCAGCTCTTCTTGGCACAAGCGTCACCACTCGGATGGGTCTCGTTCCAGGTCCTGAGGTAGGAGGCAGGATCCAGCACCCTCTTCCCATGGCCAACATCTCCAGTGATCTCCTGTTTCCCCCAAGGCCAGCCTGTTGGCACGGCTCTACCTGCCCCTCCGCCCCCCTGGGTGCCACCAGGCTTTGGGATCTTGCCAGCTCTCACCATGGGCTCCTCTGTGACCTTCTCGAACTGGACGAGGCGTATCTTCCGCACCTCGCGGCCGTTGCTGTGGGAAGGGCTGCCCAGAGTCGCTGAGCCATTGGTGTAAATGTCCTCAGTCATGGTGTTCGGGGACTGAGTGACAGCCTGTCGGGGCAAAACAAAGACTGGAATTTAAGGGCTCCACCTGAACGGAGCCTGGGAGCACCAGCTCTCTCCTGTGGGGCTGAGCAACTCCACCCTGTTAGGGTGCCTGGATCGCAGGTGGGGTACAGGGGCAGGAGAGACCCATGTGCTGGAGGAGAGGATGGGAAGAGCAAGTAAAGAAAAAGAGCAGAAGAGTTTGAAAATGTGGGCGTGGGCTTGATCTGCAGTTTTCCAGCCTGGGAAACACAGGAGATAAGAAAACTTTGGAAAAGCTACAGGTACCAGAAGCCAAAAGAGTTCATAGCCGTTCATCTTCTGCAGCAACGAGTCCCAGACACGACTTGGATGTCGCAGCAGCACTTGGCCCACCGCTGGCTTGTCTGCACAGCATAAAGCCCAGGACAGCTCCAGCGAGTGAATGGAGCAGTTTGGGAATCACCCCTGAGAACTGGGGCCAGTCTCTGCTCTTGCTCAGTTTGCAAGTGCAACCTTTCCTCATCGACATCAACGAGCAACCGACATGGCGCAAAGCCACGTCCACATCCCGGCACTGAAGGCAACGTGCTCCCAAGCCAGCCAGAAACACCCCATTTCCCTCCCCAGCTCCCAGCTCCAGCCCAGTCCATGCTGGCCAGCACTGGTAAGCCAAGCAGAGGCTTTCAGCCATGGGGAAACCTCTGTTGTCTCCAGCAGGCACTGCCACTGGGGCAGGGGGAGGGTGCAGGGGTCCCGGGCAGAGACCTCCAAACCTGCCCTGCCATGCAGTGGGGACCCTGCGAAGTGACCTCCCAGCCTGAGAAAGCCTGGCACAGTCAAACCCCTTGGGCACGCAGGGCATCCTCTCCACACAGCTTGGTTTGGCCCCAAGTGCAGCGCGCTCCCCTCGAGCCTCTCCCGAATCGCTGCTGGCCCAGCAGGACCCAGGCCAGCTTTGATCTGCAGCCCCTGCCACCTTGTCGGCACGCTGAAATCCCCAAGCCAGCCCCCGAGGCAAAGCACACCCTCACGGCTGCCCCACTCCAGGCCAGGGTACCGGCTTCGCTGCCCAGTTTGCA